GTCTGTAAATGCCTTCCTTGGTGGACCTACCTGTATGAGAGGTTACTCTGGGTACGAAATCACATTAGACCTGTCCCTGAAAAGGCACAGCTCTGTGTCTCCCCTCCACCCAGCCCTGCTCCATGTTGCTGCTGCAAGGCCCAGCCTCCCACCGCTGGAGCTGTCTCTGTATTGAGCTGTTCTGGTCTGGGCTCTGTTCCTGCAGTGTGCCCCCACCATCAGAGTGGAAGGGACCTCAGCCACAGCTGTGGCACACTAGATGATCAGAGCTCGGCAAGGAGCCCCCCAGTATGGAGGCAGCTCCAGCAGAAATAGGACAAGGGCATCAGCTGCTACAGGTAGGGCTGGGTGTGCTGCAGTGCAGTGCATCTTGTTGGGATGTGTTCAGGACTCTGTGCACAGCAACCCACATTGCTGGGCAGGAGCGTAGAGCTGTGGTGGGGACCTGTGCCACCATCAAACAGAGACAGCTAAGACTGCCAGCTGCTTCTTGCGCTGACAGGAGGTTTGTGTATCACTTCCTCACTGCTGTGTCACCATGGGACCAGCATCACTGCTGCCTTCACTCCCACAGTAGCAGTCAGGCTCAGTGATGGTTAATGTGGCTGTGGAGCCGGACTGGGCACCGGAGAATCGTGAAGGGATGTTTGAGGGTCTTTTGTTATTCCAGTAGATCACAGTGACTGGGGTGCTGCTGGGTGACTTCTGCTGGAACCAGCCATAAGCACTGCTACTGCTACCCCCGGAGCAGGTGATCTTGACAGTTTCTTCCAGGTTTGCTGACACCGAGGCTGGCTGTCTGTACTGCCTGCACCAGGGAACCTGAAAAGGAGAGAGGGAAGAAAATGGGGTGCCACAGAGAGTCCAAGGGAGGGCCACCAAGTGCTGTAGGGATGCTTGGGGAAGAACCTGTGCTATGCTGATATATCAACTGGGTGACTGTGGCCCTCCAGCAGGGACTGAGCAGTGAGGAACTGTTGCCCCAGTGCATGCAGTGGACACTATGTGTGCAAATAGTGATGTAGAAAGACAGGGAGGCAGCCAGCAGGACCTGGTAAGCAGCCTGGCAGCACAAGAGGACCAGAGCCCTGCAGCGTGGGGCAGAGATGGAGATGGAACTTCTTAGACAGAGACAGTTAAGGGCATTAACTGCTCCTTGCACTGAAGGAGACTTATGTGACTTCTGAGTCACTGTGGTACCAGTACTGCTGTCTGCACTCCCACAGTAATAGACAGCCTCGTCCTCAGCTTGGACCCCAGTGATGGTTAATGTGCCCGTGGTGCCGGATTTGGAACCGGAGAATCGTGAAGGGATGTCTGAGGGTCTCTTGGTGTTGTCATAGATCACAGTGACAGGGGCACTGCCAGGTGACTTCTGCTGGAACCAGCCATAAGCATAGCCACTGCTACCCCCAGAGCAGGTGATCGTGATGATTTCTCCCAGGTTTGCTGACAGTGAGTCCGACTGAGTCAGTGCTGCCTGCACCAAGGAACCGGGAGAGGAGAGAGGGGAGAAAAAGTGGTTCAGCAAGTGCTTGATGCACACAGCCCTTGCCTGGCAGTGGTGGGATGAGGAACACCACCATTGCAGAAGAGACCTCACAATCATCCATGCCTCTTCAGAAGCTGGAGGATGGAGCTGCCAGCAGTAACAGCAAACATGGTCTGGGCGTGACACGGTGCTGTGTCTTTGCAGGGACAGAAAGAGGTGCCTTCTATACCCAGAATCTCCTCTTGCACCACAAGGTACAAGAGGTAGGCCATTTGCAGACAGTGCTTTGCAGAGAGGTCAGGAACCTGCTTCAGCCCAGCTTGGCTGTGAGACAGATGAGCAGAAATCCTCCATTTTTCAACCACTCTGTATGCCTTTTTTTCCCCATGTCTTTTTTATCACCATACCAGGATTACTGCTGCTGTCGTAGCCCCCACAGTAATAGACAGCCTCGTCCTCGGCTTGGACCCCAGTGATGGTTAATGTGTTTGTGGAGCCGGATGTGGAAGCGGAGAATCGTGAAGGGATGTTGGAGGGTCTGATGGTGTTCCTATGGTTTACAGTGACGGGGCACTGCCAGGTGACTTCTGCTGGTACCAGCCATATTCATAGCTACCCCCAGAGCAGTTTCTCCTGACGGTTTCTCCCAGGTTTGCTGATACTGATTCTGGTTGAGTCAGTGCTGCCTGCACCAGGGAACTTGGAGAAGGAGAGGGGAGAAAATGGGACTCAGCAAGTGCCCAATTTGCACAGCCTTCCCCAAGAAATAGCAGGGGAGGGAGTGCTATCATCGGAGGAGAAGGGTTCACACCAATTGGTATGTTGGAGGGTTAGAGCCCAGCCTGGAGCATCTCAGCACAGAGGCAGCTCCAGCAGGAGATAAGGGCTCACATCAGCGACAGGGAGCAGGGCTGGGGCTAACAAACTGCTGTGCCTTGCTAGGGACAGGTACAATGTGGCTAAGTGCTAGAGTAATCTCCCATACATCTAAGTACAGAGAGGAGGGCATTTACAAACATGGCCATGCAGAGAGAACGGAAACCTGCCTCAGTCCCACAGCCCTGGTCAGCCAAAGTCAGTAAGTGCAGAAAGCTTCCATTTTGAACTGGAGTCAGTAACTCAGTTTCCCATCTCCCCGTGCCATTCTACCACCGTAAGTGCTGTTTCCCAAGTCATCACAGTAGTACATATGCTCATTTTGGACCCCAGTAATGGCTAATCATGATTAGTCTTCTGGGATCAAGGAAAATGCCTACAGTAGGCAGGGGGAGCATGGAATGGGGGGGTGGCCAGTGTCCATCAGCGCCAGCTTTGTGCTGTAGAAGGGTGGGAGGCTAAGAGGGAGTTGGCGGCCATAGCACAACTGTTGGAGTAACACCATTCTCCTAGTGGTGGTCACCAAGGTCACCTGGGCAGTTGACCTGGGCATAATCACTGTGTGCAGCTGGGCCCTTACGGGCTTCGGCCTCTGACCCACTGCTTTGCTGGGAAGGCTCTGTATGTCAGGCACCCACTGAGACAGTTTTTCTTTTCCTCTCTCCGCTCTCTTTTCAGGTTCCCTGGTACAGGCAGCACTGACTCAGTCAGACTCGCTGTCAGTGAACCCAGGAGAAACCGTCACGATCACCTGCTCTGGGAGTAGTAGCAGCTATGGCTGGTATCAGCAGAAGTCACCTGGCAGTGCCCCTGTCACTGTGATCTATTGGGATGATGAAAGACCCTCCAACATTCCTTCACGATTCTCTGGTTCCACATCCGGCTCCACGGCCACATTAACCATCACTGGGGTCCAAGCCGAGGACGAGGCTGTCTATTACTGTGGGAGCTACGACAGCAGTGCTGGTTATGTTGGTTGCAGCACTGCAGGGTGGAACTGGAGAATTGTGAAGGGATGTTTGAGGGTCTCTTGGTGTCGCTATGGATAACAGTCTCAGCACCATTACCAGGTTTCTCCTGGAACCAGCCGTATTCATGGCTACTCCCAGAGTGACCAACCCCAAGCCGCAGGGGCCCGGGCAATGCCTGCAGGAGCAGAATGCAATGAAGCCCTGGGACCTCATGTACAGGTCGAAGGAGAGCAGTAGGAGGGAGGGGAGACCCTAGAGCCAGGCTGAGAGAAAGCAGCAGAGAAAAAGAGAACCTTTTGAACATGCATGGTCTCATTGTCTTAGGGATCAGTGCCATCTTCTGGCGCTGGGTGTTGTGTGTCAGGCACTTGCTAAGCCCTGTTTTCTCCCCTCTCTTCTCTCCCCCTCCAGGCTCCCTGGTGCAGGCAGCACTGATGCAGCCACAGTCAAGGTCAGTGAACCCAGGGGAAACTGTGAAGATCACCTGCTCTGGGATTAACAGTGCTTATGGCTGGTACCAGCACCTGGCAGTGCCCCTGTCGCTGTGATCTATGGTAACACTGGGAGACTCTCAAGCATCCCTTCACTATTCTCCAGCTCCACAGCCACATTAACCATCACTGGTGTCCAAGCTGAGGATGAGGCTGTCTTACTGTGGGAGCAAGGACAGCAGCATTCCTGCTGTTATACTGACATGGAAGTGAGGTAGAGATCACAGCAATAAGCAAAGGTTTTTTGTTGTTCTCTCTTATAGCTGATCAGACTAATGGGACTAAGGCAGATGACCATCCTGAAGATGGCCACAGTTCTTTATGTCCTCCCTGCTGTGTTTTTTGTTGCAGGTGATTCTGGGGACAGAGCACCTTGTCCTCCTACAGCCGTTTGGGTGGAAGATATCTTCATGATCATAGAACTGAACCATCAGCCTGTTAAAATGAGACCCTGAGATTCTGTGTGATTCTGTGTGTGTGTGACCCTTCAATAACTCATCTCTTGTGCCTCCACTAATGCTTTGGGGTGTTATGACCTAAGTGCAGAACCTGGCCCTTACCCTTCTTGAATGCCAAGGGGTTGGACATAGCTCATTGATCTTGCCTATCCTGCTCTGTCCACAAGGCCTTCCTACCCTCAAACAAATCAATACAGCTTGATGCCTAGCAATAGTGTTTACAATGTCATGTCAAACAAAGGGGAGTCCTGGGGACTATCTGTGCTGACAGCCTGCCAGCTGCTTCACAATGACTGAACTCCAGCTGTAGCCATTCCCACAAAGGACGGGCAGGCACTGTGCCCAGCCCTTGTCCTTGCTGCTCTTCTGATGTTCTGTGTTTCAACCATGCAGAGCTTGTTGTAGGCACGTTCCTGTTCCCTCCCTGCGATCATGGCTTTGACTGTTCTCACTTCCATGCCCTAGGGCACTGCAGAAGTAGACATCACAGCTATGTTTCCCTGTGTCCCTATACCAGCATCACTGCTGTAGTAGCTAAACAAACTAAACAGCCTCATCCTTGGTTTCAACATCGGTAATGGTTAACTTGCTCTTGAAGTTAGATGCATAAAGAGAATCAAAGCGGGATGCCTGATGTGCTCCTCCTGTTGCTATACCACACAGTGACAGAGGCACTGCCCAAGATTATCCGCTGGTACCAGCCATAACCGTAGCCACTGCTAGCCCTGGAGGAAATGATATTTATGGTTTCTCCAGCATAACGGGGAGATTAACCTCCCATACAATGAGGTAGAACAGGTAAGATGTTCAAGGCCATGGCTATGCAGGGGGAAACTTGGCTGAATGGCACAGCCCATCACTATCCTGAGGGAGAAAGGCAGAAAACATAAATTTTTAATTCAGAACTATCTCTCTTTCCCATCCCCTTGTTTTACTACCAGCAGTACTGCTGCTGTCCTGGCTCCCACAGTAATAGACAGCCTTGTCCTCGGCTTGGACCCCAGTGATGGTTAATGTGGCCGTGGAGCCGGATTTGGAACCGGAGAATCGTGAAGGGATGTTTGAGGGTCTGTTGGTGTTGCTATAGATCACAGTGACAAGGGCACTGCCAGGTGACTTCTGCTGGTACCAGCCATAATAGTTGTTAATCCAGGAACAGATGTGGGTGTCAGTGGAAACTATTCCCAGCCCTGATAGGGGGTCTTGTATATCACATCTCCATTGCTCTCTGTCACTGTGGTACTAGTACTGCTGCTGTCTTCATTCCTGCAGTAATAGACAGCCTTGTCCTCAGCTTGGACCCCAGTTAACGTGAGTGTGGAGCCCAACTTGAAACAGAATTGTGGGGGGATGTTCGAAGGTCTGTTGGTGTTGAGATAGATCACAGAGAAAGGAGTGCTGGCAGAGGTCTTCTTCTGGTGCTCCCTTAACAGTAACTGCCATAGTAGCCACTACTCCCAGAGCAGGTGATCGTGACGGTTTCTCCCAGGTTCACTGACACTGAGGCCGGCTGAGTCAGTGCTGCCTGCACCAGGGAACCTGGAAAGGGAAAGCAGAGAGGGGAGCAAAATGAAGGTCAGCAAGTGCTCCCCCCCACAGCCCTCACAGGGCAGCAATTGACCATGGAACAGTACCAGTGGAGGAGAAGGGACCTCAGCCACAGCCATGCCACAGCAGCAGCAGGGAGCGGTGCTTGGGATGGCACAGTGCTGTGCCTTTGCAGTGTGGCAGAGAGAAATGCCTTCTGTCCCACCACATCATACAATAGAGAGGCCATTAATAGACTGTGCTCTGCAGAGGGAACAGGAACCCACCTCAGCTGTGCAGTCCAGCTCAGCCAGGAGAGAGAAAGGCTGTGTGTGTTGGGCACTCATTGAGCTCCATTTTCTCCCCTCTCTCTCTCCAGGTTCCCTGGTGCAGGCAGCACTGACTCAGCCAGCCACTGCATCAGCAAACCTGGGAGAAACCGTCATGATCACCTGCTCCGGGGGTAGCAGCTATGCTGGCAGTTATTATTATGGCTGGTACCAGCAGAAGTCACCTGGCAGTGCCCCTGTCACTGTGATCTATAACAACAATAACAGACCCTCAAACATCCCTTCACGATTCTCCGGTTCCATATCTGGCTCCACGGCCACATTAACCATCACTGGGGTCCAAGCCGAGGACGAGGCTGTCTATTACTGTGGGAGCAGGGACAGCAGCACTAGTGCTGTATGGTGACAGTGATTAACTGGAGAAGAGAGAAAACTTAGAACTGTAGGAAGATTTTTTTTGTCCTTCTTCCTCTTCTAAGCGCAGAATTATTGCAGTAAGCATGTTACTCTTACCTCCACATGGCCATGGCTATGAATGCACTCCCCTTCATGCCACAGGAGAGGTCTGAGGCACTGGTATGTGTTGTTCTGCTTTGGACGCCTATCATCAAAAATGGCCATAGCTGTGTCCCTCTCTTCCATTTAGGGCATTCACTATCCCTGCCAGCACCAGCTCTCCCACCAAGACCCTTGCCCGTGCCTTCTGCTCTTCAAAACACAGGAAAACCAGGCAATACCACCACAGGAAGAGGAAAAAACCTCAATAGAAGTCATAATGGAGAAGGGCAGAAATCCATTATTTTTAGCTCTGTACAACAGTTCACCCACCTCCTCTCCCCATTTCTCTATATCAGTACTGCTGCCGCCGTAGGCACCACAGTAATAGACAGCCTCATCCTCAGCTTGGACCCCATTGATGGTTAATGTGGCCGTGGAGCCGGAGAGGGAACCGGAGAATCGTGAAGGGATGTCTGAGGGTCTCTTGGTGTTCTGATAGATCACAGTGACAAGGGCACTGCCAGGTGACTTCTGCTGGTACCAGCCATAATAGTTGGTACTACCCCCGGAGCAGGTGATCGTGACGGTTTCTCCCAGGTTTGCTGACACCAAGGCTGGCTGAGTCACTGCTGCCTGCACCAGGGAACCTGGAGAGATAGAGGGGAAAAATGGTGCTCAGTCAGCGCCCAACATGTAACCCTGCTTGTGTATCCTGCAGCAGTAACACTGCTGGCAATTATTATTATGGCTGGTACCAGCAGAAGTCACCTGGCAGTGCCCTTGTCACTGTGATCTATACCAACACCAACAGACCCTCCAACATCCCTTCACGATTCTCCAGTTCCCTCTCCAGCTCCACGCACACATTAACCATCAGTGGGATCTAAGCTGAAGACAAGGCTGTCTATTACTGTGGTGGCTGGGACAGCAGCAGTAGTGCTGGTGTAATGACACGGGGAGATGTGGGGGTAATAAACAGACTGCAATTCAAAACCAAGGCTTTCTGCCCTTGCTGAGTCATGGCTGAGGTAGGATCCAGTCCTTTCTGCCAGGCTGTACATGTACGCGTCCTCCCTTACTGAACCTTTTCAATCAGTAATCAATTCTGGGTCCAGTGCCTCATTATCCCCATTCCTGCACAGGCACAGCACTGCGTTGTTCCCATCCTCAGTGCCTCCTACCACAGGTGCCAGCCACTCCAGCTGCCACCCCCGGAGCAGGTGATCTTGACAGTTTCTCCCAGGTTTGCTGACACCGAGGCTGGCTGAGTCAGTGCTGCCTGCACCAGGGAACCTGGAGAGAGAGAGGGGAAAAACAGGACTCAGTGAGTGCCCAACTCACACAACTCTCCCTGCACAGCAGTGCAATGAGGAATACCATCAGAAGAGAAGAGACCACTGCCATTTTGGAGGATCAGAGCCAAACCCAGAGCACCCCAGCATGCAGGCAGCCACATCAGGACTACGGGCAGACAGCAAACTCGGAGCAGAGCTGGGAATGACACAGTGTTGCCACTTCTCAGAGACAGGGAGGAGTGCCTTCTAACCCCAGAATGCCCTCACGCACCACAACACACAACAGAGACCGTTCACAGACAGTGCTTTGTATAGGGGACAGGAACTCATCTCACTGTACAGCCCAGCTCAGCCATCAGAGAAAAGGCCACAAAACCTCCATTTTTAATCCCTGAACATTTTCTTGTCACCACAGTAATAGACATTCTCATCCTTGACTCAAACCCCAGTTAACATGTTAACAAAGCCAGATGTGGAACCAGAAAAGAATAAAGAGATACCTGAGGGTCTCTCAGTGTTCTGATAGATCACAGTGACAGGGGCACTGCCAGGTGTCTTCTGCTGGTACCAGCCATAGCTGTTGT